TTCTTGAACATGAAAACATATTTTTCCGATGGATTTTTTAGGTGGATCTTTAATTCTACATTTTAAGGTTGCAACTTTATATAATTTTTTTTCCTATTTGTAAACCAAATCACTAACCCTAATACAATTTTATTTTTTACATCCACTCTTCAAATAAAGAGTAAATTTTTATGACTAAAATGTCCCCTCTAAAACCACATTTCTCATTGTTTTGTTCAATGAATCCGGTTTGGCAAACAATGTGCAAGACCAACTTCTAGTCTATGTTGAAGCAAGGTTTGCATATAATGTGCCACACGATTTCTTGTCCCTATTGAAGCCAATCCTCACACACTGTATTAGACTATCTTCATTATAAAAAATGAATTCGGTCCCACACAATGTGTGTTGGGCTGGCTCCCAGTCTCTATTGAAACCGACCCGACACACATTTTATCGGCATGACTTAGTTAAAACAATAAAGCTGTTTCGATATAATGTATGGCAAACCAATCGGCTAATGGATACCATTGAAGTCGGTTTGACATACATTGCATCATACTGGCTTCATTATAAATGGTATAGCTAGTTCAGTACAAAGTATGTCCAATTGGTTCTTGTGCCAAATTGATTCTCAATGTTTATTGGAGCCATTACAGCATTATGACGCCGAACTGACTGAAAGATAGACCAACGTGATCTTGCCGCGGTATTTGTGTGTGTGTGTATATATATATATATATATATATTTATTTATTTCTTGTCACTCCTTTTTCTTTCGGCAACGATCACTTACAAGCGGTCTTGTTACAATAATTCTTGCTTTAAGAAAATAAAAGTAAAACCAACAAATCCAAGATCTTAAAACCATGATGCCATCAAACTAATTTTCTTTAAGTAAAGAAACTAATCACTATTTCTCTCGTGCTTTGGAATGTAAAGGCAATATAATTAAAAAATGTCGGATATTACTTCAACCGGGCTTGTTACACCCCATATCGAGTTACCACCATCCGATGGCGCGAGATCAACGATCAACCTTCAATCTTAATGGGAAAGCAAGTTTCAAGGCAAACCCTATAATGACACTTTGAACTCCTCTTTATTACAAAATTCGAACTTAGGTATAAACCCACAATACCTAGTTTAAGCAAGATAGCATCTACTTGCTACTGGCGTGCCACCATGGGATAGGAAGGCCCTAAAAATTAGGGGGTGCCATCAAGGTGGTGGCTTTGTTAGGCCCCACAAATTTAGGTCATGGTGGGCCCATGTGCATAATGGGCTCTCAATGCTATTTTAAATTATTTAAAAATTAATAAAATATTTTATAATTAGTTTGAATATTTAGAACATTGAAAAATCAATATATCTGTTTTTATAAATATAAATTTTATAAATAAAATATCCAAAGATCTAGAAAAATTCAAATAATAATTCTGAAATCATATCATCATAAAATAAACACAATTAAATTCAGTAGATGTGATAAAGATCCATATGGTATAGGAATAAATATTTTGGGGCACTCCACCTTCAACTGTGAATTACGGTCCACACTTCCTTTATCAACCGACCCAATATTTCCCATGACCCACAGTTCATGAAAGTGCTTATTAGTGGGTTACCAAAGTCTGGTTAATGAGCCAATGAGTCGTAATATCAGTTTATGGATTTCACATTCTCCCTTAAAGACGTTCCAAGGTCACCTAGATCTGATGCGACCACAACTCCTATGACTTATAGGGGTACCTCGCACATGCATAAGCTTCACCTAAAAAGGTGGTTCGCTTTCCCGAAACGACTATCATTATATATGTCGTGTGATGGTACATAGATGAAGCTTTTGGCACCCGTCTCTGAAGGTCACCATCACACATAAAGGTCACACAGTCCATCGACTCACTCATCCATGCATACTTTGATAGCACCAAGGGATGACCCATTAGAATCCTTATCATATATCCCTTATCATATAGTTTTTTATGTGACCAGTTTTCTATACCTATGTAACGTAGGTTTTTCCCAACCGACTGGCCTAGACTGTCAAGCACAGTTCGGTATTAGTAAATGTTATTTGCTTAATATGGTCTACGAGGGACCACACTCCCACTGAGTTAATGTTCCATTATATAAATGTTTCATTATAGACATTAATAAGGCCTTGAATAGGCACACTCACCCAACACTGAATTCATTTTTTTCTTAAAGAGAGAAGGTCCAAAAATAGGGGGTTAAAAAGGGAATTTTTATTATAAAAAAGTTATTTACTCACAAAAATATATAAAAAAAAGGAAAAATTAAAAAAAAAACCAACACTACACTTTATATGCAAGTTACCCCCAACCTAACTTTTTCTCTCACTTTTTTTCTCCAAAATATACTTTCTATGCAAATACCCCCAACCAAATCAAGAATAAAAAAATACCTAAACTACCCTCCCTTACTTTTACCTTACCCACACCTCTCTCTCCTCTATCCCACCAAAATAGGGGCTCCGGTATTGTGTAAATGATGTCCTGCAGTAGTGCTCCAGCATTGTGTTAAATGCGGTCCAGCAGTAGGGCTCCAGCATTGTGTAAAATGTGGTTCGACAACTTCAGCATTGTGTAAAGTGCGGTCCGGCAATCGAAATTGGCAGTCTAGCTGTTGCAAAGGGTCATCTGATAGTAGATGTTACTGGATTCTAAGGCTCCAGCACTATGTAACAGGCGGTCCGGTAGTACTCAATTTCGGTTCGGTAGTTATTTTAGGGCGGTCCGGTACTTGTACGCTCCAGCAATGTGATGGTGCGCTCTGGCAACGTGCTACTAGCGTCCAAAAGTCAATTTTAAATCTGGCCAAAATGATTTTGGTGTATGGGAAGGGCATTGTCGACTTAAAAACATGAACTTTTTTTTGGAGGTATTTACATAAAAGGAAAAAAGTGAGGGGAAAAGTTAGGTTGGGATATGTTGCGTGAAAAGTATTGCTTGGCGTTTTTTTGTAATTTGGAGCAAAAAAATATGTTGGAGCGGTGGGGTGGGGTGGGGTGGGGGGGGGGAGTATGTGATTTAAAAAATATAGGGCGTGGTGTTATTTCCATTATTATACACGTGTTGCTCACGATAAAGTCAACCACTGTGTTCTAATGTTCCAATGGAAATTGGGGCTATAAATGCAATGATAGGCTTCGCCTTAAAGGGCAAGAAATTAGCAGACATAAACCCTAGCCGCGGAAGGCTTTGGTTGCAAAGAAAGTTCTCTCTCTAGCCTCTTATCTCTTGTTGCAGAGGAAGTGATCCGATTTCGTTATTGGCAACGACATAGATCCAGGTATTCACAGTGGTTTCTCCCTTTTATGTTTCCTCGTGTTTTTTAGGGTTTCTTTTTGCTTTGTTTTCTTTCATGGCGTTTTCAGAGGCCATGGCATCCAGATGGAATGATCTCCATCTGAGTTCAGATATGAAGATAAAAAGCTCAGAGAGTGGAGGATCGGTCGATCTGATGAACAAATTTGATAAGGTTTTGAGCTTTTGCGAGATATGGGAATGGTTCCTTGTTAATTCCGTGTTTCCCTTGAAGTGAGTAAGTGGGAATGGAAAGATCTGAACTGTGTAAGTTCTTGGGTTTTTCTTTAAGAAGGTTGGTGAGAAATACTGGAAGATCTGAACTTTTCTTATGAGATGGAGAAGGTATGGTTATCTTTATGGTTGGTGGAGCTTGTTTGGAGTGGATTTCATGCTGATCTACTGGTTTGTTATGTGAAGATTTGAGATCGGGAGAGATCTATATTTTGATTTGGAAGAGTGGTTTTCCAATGCATCAACTGTGACGTATTTGAGAGGCTAATCAGGTCATTTGGAGCACTAAATACTGTGCTGGCTTGAATCGTTTGAGTAGATCTCTTGGGCTCTCCGGGTTCCTTTTCTCACTAGAAGTAGCTGTCTTCGTTTATCATTTATCAGTGTCCTTGTTTGGATGATCGATATTTCCACGTTTTGTGTGATGATGTCCATGATATTGGGGGGTGTTCCAATTATATATGGGTTTTTGTCCCTGCTTTTTGCATCACGATACCCTTGATTTCTATCTTTTCTTTTTTTGTATTTTGATTCTTAATTATCTCCTTCCCTGATATCAAATATGCAGACTCCTTTCCAAAAACCACTTGAACATTCCCGATAAGATGTTTGGCCTTAATTGCTGTTGTTTCTCCCCTTGGACAACTGGCAATGTGAGTTTGCTTGAAAAGAATGTTAGATGATTCATAGGAGTTGGGCTTGTTATATGATCATGTCAGTTTTCGCCTTTTGCCCGCATTCTTTGGCCCAATTGCTGTTTTGGGTTGAATTTGAAGGACTGGAATGTTGCACCATAAAAGGTGCTAGATATTATGCTGACTACTAATAATCATTTACTTCTTTTTCCGAAGCACTGTCCCGTGGTATTGAATCATCTAACAGAGTGTTGTATGGATCTACCGGCACTTCATTCAAGGGTCATTCCTTTGGGGTCTGGGAGACATTGGATGTTGTTAGGTTGTGTATCTTTGCCTTGCTGTTAGGGCCCTTTATGGGGATTGGTGAGCATCATTGAGTACAAATATCAAAGAACATGGGTTGCATATCACTGTACTTGTGAAGAAAACTTTTTCTGCAATTCCACATGTTATTCTATGAAGAATGCAATTGTTCACTGAAGTGAGAATCATGTCAAGTGACTGTTTAGCATAATTTCCTTGAGTATCAGTATAGCAATTAGCCCAGGGTAATAGCCTCCAAAAACATTAGACCGGATGACATGCTAGCCACCCTCTCTCCATGATGAATGAAACTGGAATTTGAGCCATATTAGTGTCTTGGAATTCTTTACTAAGAATTTTTATGGATTGACATGTACTTGTGTGGTTTACAGGGAGAGATATAAGCAGATAAGATGCAGTAGCATGTGTGAATTTTGATTCTTCCTTAGGTGGTTGATTCAATTGATTTGTTTTATCAATTGGTGAGCTTTGGTCCTCTGTCTCCAATGATCTTATTAGTCTTTCAGTCCGCTTATTTCCTTCCATCAATACTAGTCCTATCTGACTCTGCCATCTAATTTACCGAAGGCATGCAGAGTAGACTATATTATTTTTCAACATATGGGGTTCTCTAAATTATTCACATTCTGCTTCTGTTTTTTAATATCTCCGGTTTAAAACATTTCTTTCGTTTTTTGGCCAAAAATTCTTTTTAAGCACTTCAGTTCGAGTTTTCTGAGAAAAGCATTGAACTAGACAACTTTTTCTTGATCTGGATATCGGTTCTTTTGCAAAAGTGGTAAGTTATCTTGTGTTATCTGCAGGTCATCCATTACAGTGCAATTTGGGTGACGGCTCCTTGTCATGCTTTGGACTTTCCATTTGTCAATTTAGTACAGAGCATACACAGCAAAAGAATTCAGGAAGTTGTGGAAGCTGAGCTTGATTGGAAGGCAGTCATATTTTGAGCTTGCACTGTGTCAGTTTTAACTTTGCTTGAACGCACTCGTTTCAGGAAGCTGAACATATAGTATCACTCAGCGGGTTTGGTGCAATAGATCCAAAGAAAAAACTGGCAGCCCCCACAATTTTCAGATTTTAATGAAGGTGGAAGGCATGCCACAATCTGAAACTGAAGAGGTTTTTGTTTGGCTGTTTCATTAAAAATTTTATTGAGGGTGCATAAGAAATTGTCCTTCTCTCATATTGACTAGGATTTTTTTGTTGACAGCTTGGACTTCCTCTTCTTGTTCAACGATCTGGTGGTTCAAAAATGGGTGTACCTATCAAGAAAAGGAGAATTCCATTAGTTCGTTCTCCATCTCCTCCCCCACGAGCAGCTTCTCCAACACCTGAAGACATTGAGCAGCCACCGGAAGAGCGGTTAGGTGTAGGATCTAATGAGTCAAATGCAAGTTCTCCACGTCACCTTGCAGGGAAAATTATCAGCAGCAAGGGATCTTGTGATGAAGATTCAGTGAATTTGGGTCAACGCAACGGACATTCTACTCCCGTCCATGTGTCTCCATTTGGAGACTCTCTTGGGTTAGAAACTTCTCATGTGCACATTTCAGTAACAACTCCTATTGATGAGAAAGACCTCATCAGAGAAGGAAAAAGTGAGGCAGATGACATGGCAATTGTGGCAGATGACATGGCTGACCCTGAAGATTCCAGACCTCCAGGCTCTGTAGAAGTGGGCACCTCCACCAGGGTATCTATGGACAGTCAGGTTGTTGAAGAAGGCTGCATGGACCGAAGGGGAATGATTCATAATTCCGGGGATTCTTCTTCAAGAGGAAACACAGAGACGGCATGTGGTGAAAAATTGGATAATGATTCTATCACGCTAAGAGATGATCAGGTTCCGGTTGTAAATGATGGTTCTGCAGGTGAAGAAGAAACTGGTGACAAATCTGAAGATTGTTATTTCCCAAATCATTCCCAACGCACTAATGTTTCTCCAATTGCGGATGTTCAAAACAAGGGGAAAGGTATCTTGTTGAATGTTGATTCTGCACAGCCACGTGAAGATAGGGCACACTGGGATCTTAATACCATGATGGAAACATGGGAAAGCCCTTCACGGGACACAAATATGGATCATGAGTCTGTTAGTATTGGAATGGATGGTGATAACATGCATGAGAAGAGAATGGGTCTTATGGCTAATTCTTGGATGAAGATGGGTCTTGGAGAACCAGAAGGCATTCACCCATTGTCAATCAAGGAGATGCTTCCTGCGCTCCATGATATGCATCATAGTAATGCCATCAGCAATGCAGATAACACAACTCGTTACAAAAACATTGGAGTAACCCACATAGGTGCAGATGTATATTCACCTGTGATTGGTGATCACAAAGTGGATGTTTATGATGCAAGCAGGCATACAGCAATCCCTGAGGCAATGTTGAAGGCAAGTACTCAAACAGGTGATTCTATGGTAGTTGATGATGATAATAGCCTTCAAAATGAGAGTTCAACTGTACAAAACAGATTGAGCAGTCCAAATAAATCAACATCTGTTTGTGTGAGCCACTCCCAGGTTGAGGGATCACAGTTTTCCTCTGAGGACAAAATGGAGCTTAGTAACTTAGGGCCTACATCAGCTGTATATGATTCTGAGCAGGTTGATTCTCTTCAAGTCAATGACAATTGTCATAAAATAATGCCTGGTGGTGAAGCTTCTCGGCCTGAAACAGTTGCTGAGGGCATTTCAAACCATTCAGAATCTCCTAGTACTATTACTGTTGGAATAGCTAATAATGGAGAACTTTTGGCCAAGGATCATATTCTTGTTTCAGGTTCAAATCCAGAGGACAAAACTATAGCGGTCACTGATGATAACGTAGAAATTTCCTATGTAAAGGATTCTGGTTCCACTATGTTGAGATCTGTTTTGTTGGATGGGCCCCAGGAAAGTGGCCCTGGTCATTCACGTGGCCTCAATGACGGTTCTGAAAGCGACAAGGAAGAGAAGATTAACATATCTGCTGACTCTTTAGAGGATGATCCCTATGATAGTGAGTATGAATCAGATGATGGTTCTCAATACGTGGATTCCGCGACAGATAAGGTAGCTGATGGACACGATGAGGGTGAAGGTGATGATGATGATGGTGATGCTGAAGACGATGATGATCAGTATGAAGATGGTGAGTTGCGAGAGAGTTGGGAGGCAGAAGACAGGGAGAAGAGGATTGAAGCTGAGCATGCTGGCCTTGTAAATATGGATAATGGACCTCAGGATCACAATAGGGATGATTTTGCCTCAGATCCATCACAATTGGAGAACAGTAGTAAAAAACCAGAAGAACCTGATGAGATAAAAAACATTAATGTTGTATTGGTTCAGAGTAACATTGTTTCACACAAAGAGGAGCAGAATGAAGTCATCATAAGTACTCAACCGAGTGTTAAAGGATCAGAGGTTTTGGGTGCTGGTATTGGTAATTCAGAAGGATCCATCGATGACAATAGAAGTGCTTCCGAGAACAAAATAGGAGATGAAGCAAAAAACATTGAAATAGATAAAAGATTGGATCCTACAGCTAGTGCAAGTCGAGAGACACACAATGAAGATGGTCAGGTTGGTATGGTGGGTAAGTTGGAAAAGGTCAAAAGCTTGAACTTAAGGGATTCGTCACATTCAGCTTCCTCAGGAACTAAAATTTCTGCTGAAAAGCATATGGATTCTGATGAAGGGACAAAGACTGCTAAAAGTGCTGTCAAGGTTTACAAAAACCGTATTATCAGTTTGGTGCGGCCTTCTAATGAAGCATCATTGGAGAAAAGTATATCTTCATGCTCCCCTAGAGTTCATCCATTTCAGAGTGGGAGGGCGAGGTTTGGTGATGCATCATTTAGAAGAGGCAAGTCACAGGGCCATGAGAGCAGGTAATCTTTTAGTCTTTCCATTGCTAGAGCATCTTTGGTTTTATGCGAAACATTGGTTTCCCCACTTCTTTTTCCATTTTTTAGCATTACCAAGATCTACTTAATGATTGAAAAAACATCTACTACTACTTCCTCGTTCCTCTTATATCAAATATCTTGGTATTTGGCTATTGTTTCCTTTTTCAGGGATGAAAATCTCTTAGGTGCACCGTCAAAATTTGAAAGAGATGGTGAAAGAGATAGTTTGAGATCCGATAATATGCATGTAAGAGGCAGGGGTGGCCGGCAATTGGACTTGGACCCACCTAGTGGCAAATGGGGCTCAAACAGGAAGAGCTACTCCCCAGATCGCTATCCTCCATCTGAATTTGGAAGCATAGCATCAAAAAATGCAGTTGCTTTTGCTGCTGCAAAGATTGAAAGAGATGGTTTTGTTGTTGCTCATGATGGCACCGTTGTGAAGCCCGACTGGATAGAAGAACCAACTGCTAGGACAAACAGAAGATCTCTAAATTCTGGGGGTCCACAAAGTGTGCACGAAACACAGTCTCGAAGGCGGTCTCCAAGTGGAAGAGGAGGGCCTGGTGCGTTTGGCATGGAATTAGCTCGTGCTCCAATTAGGAATATTGATCCTGAGAGAATCATAGGTGCAAGTAGAGACAGAGCAATGGGGCGAGGTCCTGGTATGGTGGTCGGGAGCCGCCGAGAAAAGTTTCGAGGGGCTTTGCCTCAGGAAGATATGGACCCTTCGTTCTTGCACCGTCGATGTGAACCTTTTGAGTATCCTATTGTGAGGAGAGAGAGGAGCTTTTCACCTATGCAAAAAAGGGAGTCTTTTCATTTCTCTCGTGTTGATGCAATATCTCCCTCAAGACCAAGGAGCCGTTCACCCCCATTGTGGCCTTCCCATCATAGACGCTCAGCCGAAGGGGTTCATGGGCAACCAGTGCGAAGGCATAGTCGATCACCTCCTCCTGATTCTAGGTATGGGACTGGACTGCAAAGGATGAGATCACCTCGACAACATCCTCGATTTCAAGAAGATATGATGGATATAGTTTTATCTTCTGGAAGACATGATGCGCCTGCCCATTCAGCCAGATGGTCTGATGATGACTTGAGAGATTTTCGTCATAACAAGCAGCACGGTTATTCTAAATCTTACATTGCTAATAGAAACCCACCCGGTAGGTTATCCCCAAGAGGTCGGAGGTACCCTCCCTCGGAATCTCCAGAAAGGATGGATGCTCGAGAGTATTTTAAGCCTGTGCCTTCAAGGCGATTCGAGTTTGGTGCTGGTGGTCGAGGAATGGAAGATGATGGATACGTTGAGGTAGGAAGGGGCTATCGAGAGAGACATGGAATGGTTCGTTCTTTGAGGCCCTATAATATGGGTTCTGATGTTGAGGGCCACCTCTTTCATATGGAAGATGGGTTCAGGCCGTATGGTTCTCGTAATGAAGGCAATACAGAGTTGCATGGAAGAAGTGAATCAAGGGATTATGATGGGCGCCTTAAGGATCGGCTTGGGAACAACCCCCGGAAACTGAGAAGCAGAGAAGAGGAGGAAGATGATTCAAAGTTTGGCAGACATGGATGGCGCAATGCGAATTTTGAATTTTCAGGTGTATGTCCGGATGATGATGTTGTCCCACCATCAAAAAGGAGGAGGTTTTGATGATTATTTGTTAAATTATAGTTGTGGACTTGGGAACCTTGTTCATATATTGCATAATATCAACATATTGCAGAGTTTCCTTGGTATAGTTTTTTTGGGCTGTGGTATCAATTTCTTCTGTCTTGATTTACATCAAAAACTTGCTTGCTTTAAATATGCGATACCGGTAAGATGAATTTCTTGGTACTGGATTTGCTTGTACGATCTCCTCCAACATGGATCTGGTTTTTATTCATCTCTAAATGGGTTGTCTAAGCGAAAATTTCTTTATCTTTGGTTGAAGACAAGGTTTGTGGCATGAATCAGAGAATTTACCATTAGGCTATGAAAAGGTTACCTCTTTCCAGAATGTTCTGCGAATATCATCAATTCTGGGGGCCAGCCAACAGTGGTATTATGTGATATTTTGCTGCTTATTCTAATGATCATAGGAAGATCAACTTATCTCACTAGGATGAAGTCCTGCTTTTGGGATCCTGTGAGGCCTACAACTATGGTTTTCACAGTTCTTGTTTATTCAACAATCACTAACATGGCCTTGCTTTAACAGTCTGTACAGAAATAATGTGTTTGTCCAATTTCATACTTTTCCTCGGAATCTTGTACAAACTGTTTCTGAATTCCAGGATCACTTTTGGTCAATTTACATGCAAGTTACTTTTGATTTTCTTTTAACATTATGTTTTCTATTCAGGTTTGGTGTGTTTGGAAGCCTTAACATGAGAAATAGTCTCTCTACTTGGATGGTAGTTATGTTAATTCTTTTATTTGATAACCACGTCCCATTAATGAACTTCATGAATATGAAAAACTAGTCCCAAAAAAATCAACATCATGGTTTTCTATTACAATGGAGAGGTCCCTCTTTAGCCAAACAGTTTACTTCTCCAGGAACATGAGAAAAGGAAACCAGCTGAGGCCAAAAGCTCATGAGCCTAGGCTTACAAGCTATCTGAACTCTTAAGGCTTGGGTAACTTATGGTGAGCGTTTGTGACAATGTTGGTTGATTTACTTATAGAAAGAATGGTGTCGATGAATTCACCTTCTACCACGGGCAAGTCTGAAAAAGGACGTGCTTATGCTTTGATCCCAGATATTTCTTTGGCATCAAATTTTGCCAGCTTCCCTGAGAGAGCCCAAGTAAAGCAAAGTTGCTGTGTGTGTGTGTCTCTCTCTCTCTCAAGAGCAAGGCAGCCAAGGAAGTCTCTACAGGATGCTTGGCAGCCAAGGAAATCTGTACAGGATGCTTGCGATGAATCCATTACGTGGTGCATGACCCACTGGAGATCTAGATGACCAAACATGTGGGACCCCTATGCCGTGCATGACCCGAGATATGCACCCACTGGAGATCTAGATGACCAAACATGTGGGACCCCTTGAGCCACCTTGTGGTTTGTACCAACTCGTGATTAATATCAGTTACCCAACTAGGTGATGAATATCAGTTAACCATCCAAACAATAAGCAATAGATGATTCTTATGTGGGGAAGTGATTAGCCTTTTTAGAGAGGATGGAAACACAGCTACCTCCATTGACAAAGTGCCCAGAGTAGTCTTATCGAGGAAACAATGAACTCATCTGACCTTCCAAGCAATGAGCAATGATTGTCCATGTCATGCATGACCTCTGAGAGCTGCTTCGGTTTGGTTAGAAAAATGAAGCAATTTGGTGTTTCGGCTGATTCGGAAGAACATTTTGGACTTTTTTTTTAAAAAAAATAATATAAATAAATTAGATATTTATATATAAAACATATAAAAATATTGGAAAAAATAAAATAATTTTTTAAAAAATTTAAAAAAATATTTTTATATAGATATTTCTTTGCTTCGGCTGAATAAGCCCGAAGCATACTTGAATCTGACTTAAGTATCCTGAAGCGGCCCAAATCTGATTGAAGCAGTAACACTAGGCTTTACTTCGCTTCGGTCTAAGCTTAAAATCTGAATGCTTCGGCTGAAGCGAAGCGAATTTGACAACATTGATCAAAAAATTTTACTCTAGTGCCACCGCCATTAGAAATTTGGTATTTCTCTGGACTTGTCACCATAGAGACTTTAGTTTATAAATGGATTTCATCTTAATGTAAATAAACTGCTGTGATGCTTGTGTTTGGCTTCCCCGAGTGGCCTTTGGCTCATATCCAACTGTGTTCATTGATGCCTCCTGGCAAATTAAATGTTAATCCTGTGTTCATTGATACCTCCTGGGAAATTAAATGTTAATCATCCTACTTACTTAGGTGGTTGTGCTTCCAATTCGGTCGTGATGCTTGCCTGCATTTTGTACGTCATATTATATGTTACAGGTAGTTGGCTAAGTGTGCTTTCATAAACATGATCCATCCCACAGAGGGAAAAAGCAGATCTGAACTCCCCCTTGAATCTTTCTGAGATGCTTGCTGCCAACACACAGAGGAGCCAGGGGCCACTTTGAAACAACAAAGGAGTGAGTTATTGTGGGTCTATTCTGAGGACATTACTAAGGATGGTACCATTTTTAGCATATTGCAGATGAGAGATGGATGGGTCCCAAGGAGACCTTGCTTGCCCTCTCAACTATTCAACCAAGAGTTACCATGCGAAAGTGGGACAATGAGATGTTGTAATTTGCAGTTTGGACTCTGAGATGAAGATTTTTTAGCTTTTTGGTTAGGATGGTACCATGTTTAGCATATTGCAGATGAGAGATGGATGGGTCCCAAGGAGACCTTGCTTGATTGGCCCTCTCAACTATTCAACCAAGAGTTACCATGTGAAAGTGGGAGGACAATGAGACGTTGTAATTTGCAGTTTGGACTCTGAGATGAAGATTTTTTAGCTTTTTGGTTACTTTCTTCTGCAGTGTTTCAGAACAACTAATGGAATTTACTCTTCTTTGATTGTATATGTTAGATTGTTCTTTTGCAGTTTGTAATTCTTAGAATGCTCTGAATATGTGCATTCAATGGGGCCCTATGGTCAATGGGTGTTACAAATGCTTTGCTCATCTTGGTATCACGGAGACTGCATATAACCAATTGCTTTCAATTTTGATGATTTCCACTTCCTCCCATGCTTTGCAGCTCAAGGGATTGTAGGAGTAAGTGAGATACTTTATGGTGACCCAAGCGACTAGATTAACATTGTAAGCAATAGATTGGATTGTGGATGTGAGTACATACACACACTCCTACTTTTACTTCTTCAACTTTTACTTTTGAGTGTGTTCATATATACCTGCAACAATAAGGAGCCTTAAGTACTTAATTGAGTTATAGTTTTGATTGGGTAGACCTGGAAAACTGTCGAGCAGATTAGGACTCCTTTTTCACCAGTCTAATTTCCAAGGTTTCTGGCCAGGGATCATAACCCGGTTATTTCTATGTTCTTACAAATGAGTTGCAATTCGGTTTCTTAGGACTTCCTTTAGTGACCCTAGAAGTTTCTAGGATGGGAATCTGAGGAAGAGTCTCGGGAGCTTTCCTCTTTTGGTGGAGGGCTACTTGGTGCTCAAGTTTAGATATGCTAGGTTCCTCGAGCTTTAACTCTAGTGGTTGTGCCAGTGGTGGTTCAAAATTGATACTTGTGGATTTTTTTAACTTATCGCCATTATAGTTTGGCCGAAGACCTTCATTAGTTTCTTTAGGGGAATAACCATTCGCCCTTGTGTACCAAATCCAAAGCTTAAAAATTTTATATGATCGCCGCATACTAAGGAAGCTGAAGGGCAAGTTTTATAGGACAATTATGAGACCAGTTTTGTTTTATAGGGCAAAATGTTGAGCGGTTAAAAAATAATATGCCCATAGAATGAGTGTAGCAGATATAAAAATGTTGAGATTGATGAGTGGCAAGAAAAGAATGGACATAATTCAAAATGAATACATTCGAGAAAATTTATATGTGACACTAATAGGCAATAAGATGAGAGATAGTAGACTTAGGTGGGTTGGTCATGTAGCGTAAACACAATACAATACCTATTAGGAGGTGTGAGTTAGTTCAAGTGGAAGGCTAAAAAAGGACAAGAGGTAGGCCCAATAGAATATGGTTAGAAGTAGTGAGAAAAGATATGAGAACTTTAAGGGTATGACCTCTTAATAGAGCAGAATGACGAGACCAAGATTCGTGTAGTTGATCCCAATTAATTAGGAAAAAGTTTTGACGATAATACGATGATACCTTTTCATTGTCTTAATATGGGTTTGATGGCAATTTCTGCCTTGGTCCCATTTTATGCAATTGTTGATCTGTTTGATGCCCTTGATTTTTGTTTTGAATGTTTGAAGATTTTAGGACGCTTTTTGCATATGGAGGATTACGTGATCTATTTATAACCAGCCAGTAGATTATAAGTGTCTTCTGTTTCTCTATTTTTCTGGTTTTCAGGAATGGAAAGTTATTAGTCTATGCTTTGCATGGATGGATAGCTATATGACTAATTGAGCTTTCCCCGAAGCGGTTCGGCTGTCATAATTCAAAGCAATTTTATTACATGTCATAATTCTATTTTGTAATCCAAAGTTGCGAGAATGACTCTAGCTCCCAACCTTTTTGAAATTATGTTCAGAAAAAACACCCGTGTTCCGAAGATGCAATATAAGGTTCTGCTTCATTTAGTTCACGATTCTTCCCATCCCATTCTGGTCCTCTTACAATGGTGGTCGTCTTCTTTTTTCTTATTTTCTGGGTTTGGGGCACCATGAAATATTTTTTGGTTCACTCTTGGCATCCGGTTCAATGCTCGTTGAGAATAAGCATGTGCATATGGGCCTGAGTAGCATCATTCCTTGCCCTAGAGTGAGGTTATATAAAAAGCAGATAGTCGTACTTGAAGGAAGAATTATCACTATCAGTTTGCAGCGGAGACCCGAGATATTCCTAGGACTTCTGGTGAAATACAACATCCAGAGAACCGCGAAGCATAATCGAGAGAAGTATAGTGAGGTATGGCGATGTTCAGGAAGGAGTTGTTTCGCCATATCCAACAAATATGGACGAGGATGCTATGGTGCTCAGGGGATCATTGTTTACCATAGTTTTTGCAATTGAGCAGGTAGAGTTGTTTCGTTATAATGAAAACGAATATGGGGGAGGAAGCTATGGTGCTCAGGGATTCACTGTTTACCATAGTTTTTGCAATTGCGACGATCACACTTTAGCCCATGATTGATGATTTACAATAGAAAATACCTCAGGGCTTTTCTTTCATTGTGTACTCTTCTTGATGGAGAGCTGCGCTCGTAGCATAGCATAGAAAGGAGACTGTAACTCTGTTTGACATACAAACCCTGATCCTTGTTATAACATGTGTTTTTTTAGACAATGTTCACAAGCAAATAAAGCCTTCCTTGTGATAGAAATCATCATCATCATAGGTTTTTTTCAATTAATTAGAGTCGGTTACATAAATTTTGGTCCGTCATTATGTTCTATTAAAGGTCATACCTTCAGATGTTGTAAGTCTTCGTATATTTTCGGATTATTTCCAACTAAGTCTTTTAGGGCCTACCCCTTGCCGTTTTCAATCTTTCTACTTGAACTAACTTGCACCCCCTAATAGGTGTTGTACTTAGTCGTTGCCACACATGACCAGCTCACTTAAGTTTATTCTCTCTCATCTTATCGCCTATTGGTGCCACACTTAAATTCAGCCGACTGTATTCATTTTGAATTTTATCCCTTCTT